TACTACTACTACTACTACTACTACTACTACTACTACTACTACTACTACTACTACTACTACTACTACTTCTATTAGTATTGTTTGCTGTATTGGTAGTAGGGGTTAGTCTGATTTTCTTCCTACTGATAGTACTAATGCTACTAGTAGTACTACTAGTAATTATAGTATAGGTGCTTTCTTCCTACTACTAGTACAAATAGTTTTAGATCTTTATTACTAGTAGTACTACTACTAATAGTGCTGATGCTGGCAGGTCTTCTCACGAGGACCAAGTGGAAGAGTAGTTCTTGCTTGTTGTTCTGTTCTAGTAGTATTACTAGTATTACTACTTTAGTAGTCAAAAGACAACAACAATACAAGAAAGATTACAATGCTGTTCAACATAGTGCTACAAGAGCACATTGTATTCATTGAACCGTACCATTTTTTAATGAACTGGTCCACCGTTTCATATTTTGATCCGAAAAATGGAAATATTCATTGTGCCATTCGAACAAATTGGGTATGTTGTGATCATCGATAGAAGAAATTCCATTGGCCGTCAATTCCGACATCAACGAAGAATCATTTCCTCTTCTAGCAACAGGTATATCAATCGTTTCACCCCATTGAGGATTTAGCGTCCGTGCCTTGATGCATGTCTGCTGATGGAAGTGCTGACGATGAAAGCTTTCTTTAGCATCAGTTGTAGCCATGACCATGCAATAAGCGTCAGATGAATTGGCTACCAAGTCCATTCGTGGTAAATTAACTGCTCGGTCAATCGAGACACGCCAGACACCTACAAGCCGAGATTCGGACGGAAATTTCACCCACGAAATCGAACAGAACAACTCGCTCCCGAGAACGGCGGCAGCGATGCCAGTCAACTTTCGGGGAACGAGTTTGTAAGCTTTGTTTTCGCCTAGCGCTTTGAGTGCCGAACTATCTGAGAGATCAGGCAGCGGTATTTCAACAGTTCCGATGTAGTCATCAAAAGACATGGAATCAAAATCCATTACTTGGATCGTCACCATCTTCCAGCCTGTTGAATTTGAAAACTGGTGGAAATAAAATCGTGTGGCATTGTAACTTAGCTGATCAATACCGGCTCTGTATAGATCCCAATATTTATCTCGATCGTCTGCATCTTCTTTAGTAAGATCTTCATATTCCTTAGCTGTCAACAGTTCAGACCGGCCCCAATCAAAAATATTGACGAGAACTCTGGAACGAATATCGTCCTCGTGGGAAGACGACCGACTGGGAAAGAAGCACGAATCATATGCTACCGCAACTGAGCTTCCAATCCACTTTTGAGGAATATGTACTTTATGACAAGTCACTGCGAGAGAGATTAATTTCGACATCAATTCGTGCGAAACAATTTCGGCTACTTCTGTGGGCGACAAATGATCCTCGAGCGCCAAACCCATCATTTCTTCCATATGGAGATCCAAGAAATGACGGAGCATTTCTGTTCCGTCTAGGCTATTGAGCATGATTCTTTTCGCCAGTTTCACTTGTGACTGGTCTATCTCCAAACCCACACTTGTTTGAACACTGCTTCTCTTCGTCGAGGAAACAGCACTKGTGGAAATGTTTTTGACTTCATCGGTGGCCAAAATGTCCATCAATGGATGCATGGATTCAAATGCCTCTGAACAACCGTCGAAGCCCGCCAGGCGATACCCCTCGGAAACCGAATTGGAAAGCCCGTCCATCACTAAATGCTTCAATGCTGACATACGGCTTTTCCCTTTCCAACCTGCCTGTGCTGTTTTCTCTCCTATTTTCAGGTCAAGCATTCGAAACGAATCATAATTATTTCGAAGGTTTCTCATCACCAACAATTGGCAAATTCCGTGCTTCCCGTCCTGTTCTACACTTTTTGCTTCCAAGACACCCAGATAGTCAAACATGAAATTCTCGAGCAAGCAAATGCCTTCGGTGACGTCTCTCTTGTTCCCATCATCACGTTCACTTCGTTCACGTATTCGGAGCACCTGTAAGTAGAAATCCTTTTCGTCTTGAGCGTGGGATAAATCTTTGCCAATCCAGTAATTTTTGTCAATCTCAATCCCTCTACATCCTAGTTGTTTGAGACCTTCTTCGGTCAGATTCAGCCGAAAGAAAGGAGCGGTTCCTCCGGAAGTCGACACCCGGCGTACGGGCGATTCGAACCACGAAGGGTTTACTTTTGTTTGCTCTTCCACAAGCATTTTATTTTGGGTTCTGTGATATTGATACAATGATTCGATCCAAAAGAGATACTGAAACTTGAGATCGAAAAAAATAATCTTGTAGAGAAGTCTGCAAAGACAGTAGAGTAACTCGTCATGATGCATTCCAACTACGAGGTGAAACACAACTTCTAGTTCGTAAGATTGGTGTCCGGACTCTACTTAATAAGCCTTCAATATTTCTAGTACAGTACTACTTAATTTTGGGCAAAGGAAACGAGACCCGTTAAAGAAGGAGGAAATTGGGAAATTCAACAAAACGTACAAAGTACTCGTTCTCTTTGAATCCCGTCGCGCTCGACAAGACTAGAATGGATATGACACTACAGTACTGGCTACGGTCCACTGGACCACCACTATCTTTAGTGCACCGTAGTCAGTAACCTAGAAGAATTCTCACAGACCTGGACTTACCAAAGAAACAACAAGAAACTTGTTTTTAGTGTAGAATCCATGAAAAATCCAGTATCCCATTTTTTGCAAATAAATGAGTACGTACCGTACCTTGACCAAAAACAGATTATTAGAGTAGTTCTTTTTGCACCATACAGTTTGCGTTAGCAGCCAATCTCTATTCTTCCACCTAGCATTCATTGCAGTCCTTGTCAAGATCTTTGTTCAAACATGCTCTTGCCTTAAGTTGAAGTCTGAAAGGAGCAGTACAAATTAAGTATCCTTTTCCAAAAGTATTATCAATCATTCCGAAGGTAGATACACAATTCTTCCCATAACTTGAGCAACTTCACTACAGAAGTTAGACAAAATCACAATCTCTTTCTTCATTTGCATAAGGAGAACTGATCATTCGGTGAAAGACTTGCAATCATGTGCGCCACTAAATATCATTCTTTATAAAACTCTGCTACGCTTAATTAGAGAGTAGCTTGGCCCTAATCGGAACATCACCAAGGAGTAACGAAAGAAATGGTTCGTGCGAAAATAAGATAAACATGTTGAGACACTTAACTACTTATGCTAAATTTAGTTTCAATACTGTCTCGTTCCCTACCTTTGACTTTATGTTATCCCTGAATGCTCTCCAATGGGGACAAGTAGTGATACTGAAGCGCTCTCTTCGGCAGAATCTTCTATCGATATTTCAGTATTTTCGCTACATTCTTCTCTTTCCACTCTTGCATTCTCAACATCGTTCTCCTCTTCACTTGGTAACACTTGATCATTGCATCGGCGACTGGAATGGTTATCGTTGCAAGCATTCGAAATCAAACCGATGTGCTGGGAGGTTTCGGCGTGTTGTTCCTCGGGCACGTCTCCTGATTCTAAACCACCAGCATTGGACGAAAGTTCGTGCAAAACGACCCGGCATTCTTCTGTTTTGAGCTTCAACTCAAGCTGTCGATCTTGGATCGACTCCATCTTCAGTTGATGCGACAGCAATTCCTTCTCGATGCCCTCGTAGATGTCTTCAATTGGTTTCAGAGATTTCTTGTAACCTTCTATTTTCTCGTTCATTGCCATGAGACGCTTGTTATGGCATTCTGGATCACCATCTTGTTCGGTCCCATTGTCCTCGGCATTCTGATGGAGACGCTGTTCCGCGGCTTTGATTTTTTCCTGGTAGGTTTGAAGTCTCGTTTGCAAAAAGTCGCGTTTCGATTGTAGTGCTTCGAGTTTGATGCTGGCCCTGTCAAGATCGCATTGCAACAGCTCGTAGTCGTCCTCTACAAAAGAGTCGCAATCACTGTCCCCTTCGAAATCACCATCAACACCAGCGGCAGTGGATGCTGCGGTTGAATCGCTTTCGATGATACCAACTGCGGAACCAGTACCATTCGACGAGGGAAGATGATCCTCCAGAAATTCTAACAGGTTCTCTTGTTCGACAGGATCTAGCTTTTGCGTCCTCTTTTTCAATTTATCCCAATGCTTCGATTGGACCTTTTTCACGAAACTCGAGACTAAGGTATTCATTTTCACTCTTCACACAATAGGTACCGGTATGTTTTCCTTATGGCGGGGGTTGGTGTTGGGAGGTGGCTACGAAGTACAGTACGAATTAAAGTACAAAGTAGGATACGAGTACTCGTATGTACTGTACTTACGAATTACTGTACTTCTACAAACTATTTACCGTCGTCCTCATTTTCGTGCTGGTAGTACATTGCGGTAGGTGGTCCTTTTGGACGTGAAAAATTTCAAAAAACAGGGATTGTGTGACTGCTGCACGGCTGCTACCATAAGTATCGTACGGTACGTACTACAGTACAGTAATTTGTATTTTGAATTTCGTATTCTTTTTCGATCGCACGAGACAGTTTTGTTTTGAACCTGGCCGTCACACGATTAGCTTACGGTACCATACGTACGGTACTGTACCGTACCGTACGAGTAGAATACTGTAGTATCCAGCGTCGCAGCTAGCGCAGTGTGCAACGCAAGTACCGTATGATAGCCGAACTCAGCCTTTTCTTTTCCTAATCATCTGTTGTCAACACACCACTTACAGCAGTCTATTCTACCTTTCTCATCTTCACTGGATATCTGCGGTACAGTGATAGAGTAATCCGCATCGTTAGCGCTTGTTCAAAACCGAATAATAACCATGTCGTCTTGGTTCCAGTCGTCGGGGCTGACTTCTGCATTTGAGTCATTGAATGAGACCGTTCAAGCCGTCACGGAATCCGTTCAAGAAGCCATTCCCACAGAACACAAAGAATTCCTGTCGAAACTCACCCTCAACACGGATGAGATGATATCGGAGAGAAAAAATTACAAAGATGAAGAGTTTCGAAAAGCAGCAGCAAAAGATCGTCTCAATCGAATTTTGCCGTGGGAAACATTGGATGCGGAAAGGGAGGTCAGTTTTTCACTATTTATGTGTGGATTGTTTTGCTTGGGTGGGTGAAGCCTTCTCCTTCAAATGCATCCATTTTCTTATCCCCCACAAATTCCTTGTTTCTGCACATTGTATCTCATCTTAGATTTTAGTGGAAGAATGCAGAGATGCCATTTTGGAACTGAGTGAGACCGAAGAAACTTTCTTTGGGCCGTTTGAAATGCCATTGTTAAACGTAGACTTATCTGTACAGGAAACACTAGAAATCGGAGATGAGACAAACGGAGATGAGGAAGAAGCACAGGAATCAGCTGCTGGTGAAGAGGACAGTGGTTTCGTCGATGGAACCAGTTTTGTAGGAGAGGAAAATAATCGAACAGGGGTGTCGGAAGAGAGCCAAGAAATGCTCGCGAAACTCGAACCACTACCCCCTCTGTTGGAAGATTTTGATCTTGATGAACACGTGGGGTTGATCCAAAGGGTGTTAAAAGAAGATCCGAAGCTAGTGATGATGCAGGCCAAATTATCGGGTAAGTATCAATACGGGGTCTTTTTTATTACAACTTGTTTCGTTTGCATTGATCTGCTGTATAACTTTGTATCCAGGTGCTTTTTCTCTCGCACGAAAATCCATCTTATGTTGGTGAACTATTTCTCATCTATCGACGGGTATCTTTTCTTTGATTCTTCAGGTGGAGGTGCTCGCGAACGAATCTTTTGGCGTAATTACTTTTTCCATTGTGCTTTTACTCGATACAAGGTACGCGAGAAAACAATAATCATGCATCGTAATCATGCATCGTGTGGAATTCTATCATAATAGTTTCACAGGCAAGTAAAACTAATCATTTTTGTTTCTAACATTAATGCTCCAATCACTTTTTCAGTGCGGACTAAGTCTCGACGAAATCTGGTCTCACCAAGAGGAATCTAGCACAACAAAGAATCCATCAGACACCACTTCCACAGAATATGGTGACGCAGATGTTGTATCGACTCCTGTCCCTGACGACGTCGAAGAGGAAGCGATTATTTTTGACAACACAAATGTGCAGGACGAGACAAAAACATCAGAGAGTTCGTCAGATGGGGATTTGGATGGTACCGGAAACACAGAATGTAGCTTCCAGCTTATCGATGAGGATCTTGACGAAGCTGGTGGAGATCCAGAGTTAGATGAACTGGAGGCAGAAATAGCAAGAGAACTTGAAGATTAATGATTGTGATACACCCTTAATGATACATTAAAATACCAGGATTTCAATCGTACTTTCTGTGAACGATTGTGCTGCCCATGAAATGAACATGAAATCACGTAGAAGTCGAGGTGTAGATAACCTGCGTTTGGGTTCTTTAATCGAAAAATAGATTCTTTACATATGTAGTTCATTACAACTCAGCCAAGATCTCTTGATCTTTGGTGAGATCAACGTTCTTTTTGCCACGGGCCTTGTAGTTTTCATAATACCACTTCAAATTTTCTTGCAAGTCATTCGATGCTCCGCTGTACCCAAGTTTTTCTTTTGCCAAATCTGGGGTGACATAGAAGTCAGTTAGTCGAAATGGAAACTTGGCCTTTCCAAACGTCTCACCCGGGTAATGCTGGATTTTCACGTCATCCTTTGCGATGCCGGCTGCTTCAGCACACAAGTATGCTACTTCGTCATACGAAAGCAATTTATCTGTTCCGCAATTGAAAAATCTCTGTTCCACAGCAGCTTCTTCGTTGTCAAGCGGTGCGACCAACAATGACGCTACATCTTCCGAATTGGTAAGGGACACCTTTTGGGTTCCGGGGCTTGGAATCAGCAAGGGAGCACCAGCAGTCAACCGGTCAAAATACCAATCGATGTAGTCGTGTTTGTTCGACTTTTCACCGTAAATGTACTGAGGACGAAACGAGACCAATGGAAGCTTGCATTCTTCTGCAATGTATTCATCCATCTTAGCCTGACCGGCCGATTCTTTGATGGGGGTGGTCGCTTCAGACATAGGGAACTCTGTTTCATCGGTGGGCTGATACATTCCAGCGGAAGAAACGTATACGTAAAGTTTCACACATCCCCAGTCTTTAGCAACGTCACAAAGCGCCTTGCTCGACCCTTCTGGGCCTTTGGAATAGTTGTCAAAGATGTATTCAAACTTTTCTCCGCCGAGCAAGTCTTGGATACCATTGGTATCCATCGACTCGTCTCCCAATTTAGCATAAACAACATCAACTTCTGGAAGATGGGAAGAATAAGATTTGAATGGCTCTGCCTCGCGATCACAAGAATCATCTTGCAGTATCGTGATTTTTTCGATCTTATCACCCGCGGCCAATTTCTTGGCCAGTTGGAAGCCTTGGTTTAAATTTTGAAAATACAACAAGGCAAAGGATGATAGCTGTTACGATTAGTTGGTGATCCAATATTCATTCTCTGAAACAAGCACGAAGAGCCGCAAGAATCGCAGGCTAGCGTGCGGTACTGCAGTTGGAACGAAGTAGACTGAAACTCGACATCGGCTTACCTAATTCTCCGTGTCCCCCTCCTTTGTTCTGGACAATCAGAGCGTTGGCCATTGATAGAGAAGTAATCTCAGCTCGCACTGCGGAGGTAGGCAATCGATGAAGTAAAGGGTAGTAACATTTAAAGTGAGAAAGAAACCTTCGAATCGAAGCAAGGTCACAGGTAATGCGAAAAGAGGAAGCACTTTGTCCCGAGCTATATTCAAATGAAATGTAATTCACGCACCGCTAGGGTTACTCGCAGGAGCAAATGCCGTGGCAGACCCAGTGCATGCAGCACCCAGGAACAAGGTAATTAATCGAACCATGTTGATTGTTAACTTATCGACAAGATGTCTTTCTCGGTACGATCGCTAACTCGGAGGGAAACCTTGAAGAAAAGGGTGGAAAATACTTTGCCGTCTGAGTTTTCATTTGTTTTACGTACTGTATCACGCCAACCCTGTAGGAGTAATGGCACACTGCTTAGCTTCGGTAGACGAAAGCAATGATACGTTTGCTTCCGGTGGGATCTTTCTCTTTAAAAAACGACAGATTGCAACGACGTGATGTTGTCACGATGAATGATGACGCATTACTACGCATACAAAGTATCTTCCCATCATATGTCCATACAACATACAACCCACAAAAGAATCCACAATTTGAAACTTTGACTCATTCGACCATCAAATGACTCTGATCCTTCGATTGAACTGACTCGGCAATCGGCATACAACCTCTGTGCAAGATTTGATACAATGAGTATACCTTTCATAGATACAATGTAACGTTTAGATACACGTGTAACCATGTTGATATTAGTGGGGACCATTTTTGGCATCGGATTGTGATGTTGAAGTCGTCACGAGCTTCGTTGAGGAAAAATACTGTTCTACTACCTGTAATTCTTACGAGTTATTAACAGAAATCGGTTTTCATGAAAAACCGAAGGGTGCTGCTGTACGTACGGTATGGAACGAGTGCTTGTAAAACGAGTCAACAAGCAGCTATCGAAAACTTTTTCAGCCGGTGACAAAAACTTATCACGATGAAGTTTGTTGCTGCTTGTCTCCTTGCATCGGCAGCATGCCCTGGAGTGTCGGCATTTGCCTTCCACAGTACACCATCTAGCAATGTGGCTGCCAGCACTGAAGTTTCCATGAAACGCGCATCTTTGAAGCCATCTTTCCAACTGAACGCTGAAACTGTAGATTCCGATACGGTTGCTGGTCTTCCGGATACAATCGAAACTGAATATGAACTTTTGGGACTTCCAGCAAGGCCTGGACGCCCTTTGAAAGTGGCTATTGCAGGTGGTGGTGTTGGCGGTTTGACGGCCGCATACTACATGCTTAAGAAAGTACGTCGGTGAATTTGCACGAAAAATACTTCAGAAAGCATTGAGAGAATGAAGTATCGAAAAATGTATACCTTGGATTCTGAAATTGACCTTAATTTATCATTATTTACTCACCCTATGGCATGTAACCGATGAACTATAATCGCTTATCAGGGCTTCGACGTGACTGTATACGAGAAAACATCGGAATTCGCCCGATTTGGTGGACCCATTCAGTTCGCCTCAAATGCTCTGTCAGTTCTAAAAGAAATTGATGATCGTCTTTTCGATCGAGTTATGGAAAAATTCACTTTTACGGGCATTCGCACATGTGGAATTAAGGACGGTAAGAATATGAAGCAGAGAAGAGAAATGATACCAAACCTTTTTGGAGTACACAAATCTGGGGCTCTTTTCGATCATAAAGCAGCATCCGTTGATTTTTTTATTTGGTTCAAAAGTACTTACCAGCTGGAACAAAATTACTTCTTCACTTTTAGGACTTCGATCTGACGGGTCGTTCCGTATGACAGATGATTCTCTTGATTACCTCGTGAACCCCGATGCTCCTGCCGATTGGTTTGTTAAATTCCCTTTGAAAGAGTGTGCTGATTTGTTCGGCCTTCGTAAGTTGATTGCCAACATTCATGAAGTGTTTTTTGGGGCGGCAACCTACCCTTGACATGGCATCATTTTAAATTTGTGCCTCCTTCTTGGGTGCAAACTCATGGACTGTTTATTTTCTCTCGCAATTTCTTCCCTCTCTCGTTATCCCATTGGAAATATGTATCGTCAGCTTACACTGGAGTAATTGATCGACCAGATCTACAGGAAATTTTGTTGGACGAGTGCAGACAAATTAAGCCTGATTTCATTCAAAACGGAAATCCGGTTGTTGGATATGAGAATCTTCCGAAGGGAAGTGGAGTTTCCATCAATTTGGACGACGGAAGTACCGCTGAAGCTGACGTTTTGGTGGGGTGTGATGGTATCTGGAGTGCAGTACGAAATCAGATGTACAACGAGGGCGGAGTGAAATCTTTGAGCAAAAACAAAAAGAAGCGCCAAGGATGTGACTATTCGGGATACACTGTGTTCGCAGGAGAGACAGTTCTCAAAACTCCCGATTACTACGAAACTGGATACAAGGTTTACATTGGCCCACAGCGTTATTTTGTAACCTCTGATGTTGGAGATGGGCGAATTCAATGGTACGCCTTTTTTGCGTTACCACCGGGCACCAAAAAAGCGCCTTCCGGATGGGGTGGTACAGAGAGAGAAGATCAGGCGGATCCCGAGGAAAATTTGGTTGAGTACATCAAATCTCTGCACGAAGGGTGGTCTGACGAAATTATGACTGTTCTCGACGCAACGCCACCTGATTCTGTGGAGCAACGTGACCTTTACGACAGAGCACCTGAATTCTTCCGAAGTTGGGCCGATGGTAACGTCGTCCTCATGGGGGATGCAATTCACGCTATGATGCCTAATTTGGGACAGTAAGTATGATCTACCGTTTTTCATAGCTTGAAATGAGTTATGGTATCCGAGGAGTCTGTCAAACTAACTCTGACTTCCGTGCTCCTTTGTTTTGTTGATAACAGAGGAGGATGCCAAGCCATTGAAGATGCGTATGTCCTTACTGAAAATCTCGCAAATACGAAATCTACCGACAAGATCGAAGCCTCCCTTCAGGATTTCTACAAGAAGCGCATCTTGAGAGTCAGCGCAGTTCAATTTTTGAGTCGATTAGCGTCCGATTTGATTGTCAACGCATTTGATACGCCATGGAGTCCTCACGACAACCTTGGGAAGTCGTGGAAGAGTTACTTGACTTTCTTCTGGAAGGTAAGGAAAAATTCGGTATACATAACGGAATATATTTTGCAAACGAAAGATCTGTAAAAGCAGCTCTCAATGCATGTTCTGAAACTCACGAAACATTGCCGTCGTTATTATGCACATCTTGAAACATACAGCCAATTTTGCAGTATGCTATTTTCCCTGCGCAGTTTGCGTTCTTGTATTCGTACTACCCATCTGGAAGGTAAATTTCTACATTTTGGTTTGCAATGTTTTCCAGTGACTTGTCCCATAAATTTGGCAGCTTGAAATTGTCCTCTTACCGTCTTTTTTATCTATTCACAACTTGTGCAATTTTTCAACTTCGTGTTTTAGACTGGACGATGTCGCCGAAAAACTAAGCGATGAGTGGAAGTCTAGACATTTTGAAGCGAGCGAAGAAGCATTCAAGAAAGCCGAGGAAGGTTTTGTAAGGGAGTCGGGACCATCGTTCTTCCAAAAAGCTGAGGTCGAAGAATCAAAACCATTGGTCGCTGGCTTGAAGAGCAAGTTCAGTATCTTTTAAATTGCAGCCCTAGATCTTTGATATTTCATTAATTACTAAAGATATTTTCCCAATGGCAACATGAGAGTTTAGTGCTCGGGTTAAACACAGATTTTGCGTTCAGCATTTGCTGGTATGGTGCAAACCTACCGTATCAGTGCAATCATGACCTCTTTCTCATTTATGGACCCAAAAACCAAAAATCCTGTTGCATACTTAGTACTCTATCTTATTTTGTGTATGTATCATAGGTATGATAATGCCGTGAAATTTACGTAAAATACCTCCACCATCCATCACGCAAGCTGTCTGCAAAATACATTCTATCATTCTGTATCGTATTATTGTACTCGTACCGCACAACGGGACGACGATCACACATCGCACGCTAAACCTTAAATCCTTGATCAAATACTGTAATAATCATGCAAGTAAGAAATAACAGTATCAAATCACAAGGAAGGGATAACTAGCATAGACGAATACCATCAGACATACCCTTCCCCTCCACCAAGGTCAGCATCCCAAAAGCCAGAATGGAAATAGAGATAAATTTCCGTTTCGATGACAACGGAAGAACAGCAAACACAAAGGGCGATACCGGGGCGGACGGTGACAACAGAAACGTGAATGAAATCGATTACGATTTCCGAGCCCAGATGACGAACCTGGGGGGGTTGTCGGACTCGGAGGCAATGGACGATATTTTGTTGGATTGTGAAATCAGCGACAACATGATCATGCCGCGTACGTACTGGATGCCCGCCGACGGGACCAAGGCGCGCTGCACCCTCGAGCAACTGGCCCTCGACGTCTTTCACAAACACGTCCCGGCGAAAGGCTTCGATTACGACCCCGAAACCAGCGGAGCCGAGTGGTGGTGCCAGCTCCGACCGTCCCCCGAGATGGGGCGGCACAATGCCGTTCGGTGCTCCGACGAAGAGGCTGCCGGCGATGGTGATTGCTCCGAAGATCCGTTTGCCAACGGGATTTCCTTTCACGTCGACAAGGACGAAGAACTGCGGATTCTGACGGGGGGCTCCACGTACGTCCACCCACATATATCTACGATAACCTATCTGACCGATTTGGGCAGCCCCACGCTGATCATGGATTGTCTGGTGCACCCGCTGACGGGGGAGTGGATCGTTCCAAGCGAATCGGTCAACGGATTCGTCTCCTGGCCATCGGTCGGCAAGCACACATCGTTCGACGGCAGATACCTCCATGCATCGCCACCCGATCTCATGGGCGAAAAGGATGCCTTCCAGAAGCAATTGGAATTCGTGCCCAGCAGCGACGAAGCAACCCTGAAAAAGCAAAGACGGCGGCACCGCCGGGTGACGTTCTTGGTCAACGTCTGGTAAGTGTGTTTTTTCTTCTCGTGTTCCAATCTCCCTAGCAATTTTCGCGTCCGCTGATTCTCGTTGTCCGTCCATGCGGTTCTTCACAAAAGGCTGAACTACAAACCATACAACGTACACAAATTTCCGGAGTCGATGATCGACAAAATGAGTGGTTGCGACGAAACCAAACGGGTCGGTTTGGAGTTCTCGTCGGCAAACCAATCCTCTGCGGCGCTGCACGTGCAAAAGACATCGGTCCGATCGAACCGAGCCACCGAGACACTCTCGGGGACCGGGGAAAGCGAGCCCTCTTCCGAAAGCGTGCACACCACCACACCCTTTTCGTGGCCGCTGGGGGACAAGCGTTCGAACGAAGAGCTGCGGTGCCGGGTACCGATGGATTCGATCGGAAAGGCCTCCAAGGAAAGGTCAAACGTCCGAATCGAGTGGCAAACGGGTGCGGAGGGGTCCCCGGGGACCGCAAGGTGCTTTTGTCTCTGCACCGGGGATTCCGATGGAGCCGTGCCGCCCAGCAAACCCGGAGCAACCGGGGCGGAAGGACGCAAGGCCGCCGAATCGTCCACGCCCGCCGAACCAGGCGAAAGCACGACAGCCCCAGAGGATCCGACCCGCAAGAAGCGCCCCCGCGACGATTGATCGATTCGATCCGCTTCTAGATTTTATGCAGGGGATCCGACGAGCGCAACGAGATGATTCGGAAAGCGATGCCCGCCTAGCAAAAGAACCTTCGGGGAGGTTCGCTTCGCAAAACAAAATTGGTACTCTATCGTGCTTTTTAATCACATTCCTAGGGTGTTTTCCTATCCAAATCGTTCGGTATTCTCGGGCCGTATTGGGTTGTTTCCTCCCTTTCTTGCCCATGCCATGATTTGTTTGTGTGGAATATCGAATACAGCATGCATCCGAAATCTTCCGGCATTGATACAGTACCGCAGAACCATACACTACCGTGGTTTCTTCCCGCCCAGAGCCGGGGGTGGTTCCTTCTCTCCGGGCCCCCTGGCGAGAGCAAACCATTCGTCGGAATCGCCGCCGTGCTCTTGCAGAAGGCTTGGGGACCGCTTCGGGTCGCCCCAGTGCTTCCGAATGTTGAGCCCGGGGAGACGATCGATCCCCATGCTCTCGGCGCGGCGGGCATCGATCGCCGGCAGTTCCGGGGGTCCAAAGTCTCGGACCAGCTGGTTGAGGACGTCCACAAAGGCTCCGAGGGGTGGTGGTTCCCTTCCGTTGCTGTTGCTGCTGCTGTTGCTGCTGCTTGTGTTTCCGCTGCCGGACCGTCGCCGGGTTTGGAAGTAGTGCGACACCAGGGAGCGGTAGGCCAGGTCTACGGATTCCGCCATGCCCGTCGGCTCCCTCCCCTCGGCCAGTTCCTGCCGGAGCATCCCCAGCTCGTTTGCGAGGGCCCTTCGGATTTCGTGCCCCCCCGATTTCTTCCCCCTGGAGAGCAACCGCTGCTTCAGTGAATGGTCGGGGCCGACGCCCAGCCCGCCCAGCTCGTCCCAAACAAAGGCCTGCTCCGGTTCCGGGAGCACCAGGATGCCCCTGCAAGGGTGGGGTGTTCCCGCCCCACCGGTTAGGGTTCGACCCAGGCGGTGGAGGTAGGTGGCGCGGTTTCGCGGGGCCCCGACCTGGACCAAATGCGAGACGCCTCGAAGGTCTCCGCTTCCGGCGATCGTTCCGCTGGCCAGGAGCACCCCGCGCCCGGAACGGCGAAAGCGGTCTTCCGCCCGGGTCCGCTCCGAGGGGTGCATCCCTCCGTGGGTCTCCCACACCCCCACGGTGTGGCCCAGCCGCAGCGACAGGAACCTAGCGTAGAGCTGCGCGAGCCGTTTCAGCTCGAAGAAGACGACGATCTTGTGGGTGTTCTTGCCCCTCTTCGATGCCATGAGGTGCAGAATGGTTTCCATCGTTCCCGTCCAGAACCGGTGTGCCGGCAGAACCACAAAGGATTGTTCCGTGTGGGTGTTGGTGGGGGGATCGGATTCGCGTACGCAATCGATCGATCGGAAGTTGCTCCCGCTCCCGCGGCTGGTGGACACGGAACGACCGGTGGAGGCCTTCCGGGGGCCGCCCGGGGGGTCGACGAAAAGCCCGGTTCCGGAAGGGCCCCACCGTTGGAGGGGGGCCGAAGCGGCCGTGGGATGCGGAATTTTGTTCCGCGAGAGGCGCCGGGCGGCTCCGGCGGCGATGGCGATGGCTCTGGCGCGGTGCATGCTGTGCTATCGGCCGTCCGGGGGGTCCATGGTCTCGGGCACGCCGGGGGGGGAGTCGGGGTTGTGGCGTGGTGTGGTTTGCTTTTTTTGCTTTGCTTTGCTTTGGTCACGGTCGAGTGCGCACGAGCACGGTCCGTCTATGGTGTATTCGATGGAGTTCGTGCGGGTTGTCACGGATCAGTCGACGACGTTTGGTTTGAAATTGAAATTGAAATTGAATTGAAACTGCGGTCCAACGAAAACGAAAGAAACCCCCCAAATCCCGGAAATTCCGAACGACCTTCGGATATCCTCGGAGGGGAGTTCAGTTTTGGTGATTCGTTTCATTTTTTTGTGGGTGTCTGTTCTCGCAACACCCATCCCGACACCGACAGACGTACCGGTAACGTGCGGCACCCTGCGGTGGTTATAATAGTATGTTTCATATGAATTCTACTAGAGTGGGATACGTAGGATGATAGGCACGTCATACCCCTCTCTGTACGGTACGGTACGGCAATCTTCGATTCCTCCCTGCTGCGCCGCCGATAGTCACCGTAATTTTTCAAAATTTACGCTACGAGTCCGAGTGATCTTCGTAGCACGGTCACATGGTGAAGTGAGAAACGCGCGAAAAATTGCAGGCAGACCGTGGCTTGTTGTACCGTACTGGAATTTACGGTACTACGGTTCCATCCAACAATCCCAGCCCGATCCACCCCGGGCAAAAGCACGGCGCCGGTTCGAGTACGAGTACACAGATTCGACGGGTCCGTCCAGAGCCCACACCAACGGCAAAAAGGCACCGAGGCTTGCCAAGCAACACAACACAACACAACACAACACAACACAACACAACACAACACAACACAACACAACACCCCTGCCAAGACGAACGAAGCATGGCGGCGACCCAGAAGCGAGGGACGGCCTCCGTCGCACAAGGCGGAGGCGGAGGGAGCGATTGTCATCCAACCACCACCACCACCCCCGCCGTACCGGGCCAAGCACGACAAAAGGGGCCCCCGTACCGCTACGTGGCCACCGGCGTCGTGGCCAACGCCCGGCTGTCCCCGCTGCTCCCGGGGGACTGGGTGGACGCCACCTTTGGGAAAAGCACCGGCGGCCCGGGCGAGGAGAGCACAAGCAACCCCGGGAACGAGAACGATCCAGGGGTCCCCGACTTTTTGTGGGAGAACGCTCCCCGCCACGAAACGAGGGGGATCCGCGACGAGGTAAGGGTCTACTCCCACCTTCCCAACGGAATCAACATTCTCGATTCGAAGTGGGTCCTGGGCCGGCTCTTTGCGGAGGCCAAGAACGAAAACGACAACGACGAGAAGGACCCCCTCCTGGCGACGTGCGAGACCCACTGTTTTTCCGGCCTCGACGGCTATCGGGAGTTTTCCCGGTCCGTGGATCTCCTCCCCGATTCCCACTCGGACACGGGCGACGACAATGGCAACAGCGACGGCAACAGCGACGGCAACAGCGACACCGATCCGGGCACGCGGGACCAACAACTCCGCCGGCACCGGGAGCTGGAGGAAGCCATCCGCACCCTCCCCGACATTGCCGGGGGCCTTTCGGCGCGGCAACCGGAGGCCGCCTCCGTCCGGCGCCCGCCCCCCGCAACGATGAACTGGTGGGTCGTCAAGGACGCCGGGGCCAACGGGGCCGGCGGCGTCTGGGTGGTCGGGCCAAGCAACGCGGGGAGCTTCGGGGACCCCTCTTCCTCGCCGATGCTCCCCTCCCACCGGTACGTCGCGCAGCAGTACGTCTGGCCCCCCGTGCTCTACGCGGGCAAGAAGTGCCACGTCCGGGTCTACGCCACCATCACCTGCGACGGCCGGGCCTTTGTCCACAGGCGGGCCTTTCTGCACGTGGCCAACGACCCCTTCGGACCGGGCGAAAGATCGAGCCCCACCAAAGGCGGGGGGGCTGCCGAGGGCTTCGACGACTGCGTCCACATCACCAACTGCTGCGCCAATAGCCACGACGGCACCAAGTTTGCCGGGGAAATCCTCGCCGATTTTGGCGAGACCGAGTACACGACCTGGAGAGGGGACGGACGAGGCGGTGGCGACAGCGACAGCGACAACGACAACAACAGCGGCAACCACACAATCGACCAGCCGGTGGTCCCGCTGGCGGACTTTTTTCCCTCCGTGAAAGCGACGGTTGCCGCCGTGGTCCGAAAGACCTTTCGGCTCGGTTTGCTGGACGGGGGGGAGAAAAACCGCGGCTTTGAGTACTGCGGCATGGATTTCATGCTTTCCTACAGGGAAAAAGAGGCCGACGAGAACGCCCGGGGCAACCACAACAGCAACAGCAACCCAACACTGCAACCGGTCGCATACCTGCTGGAAATCAACTCGCCGCCGAGCCAAGACACGGCTTCGTCGCTGCCCCATGCGGAACACCTCCACAACGAGGTACTGAGGGACTGGATGAACGGCTGGGTGGTGCCCAACATCGACGCCACCTTTCCCATCCGTCTTGGGGGCTGGCAGCCCTGTGGGGCAGGGCACGCCTCGGACCCGTTGGCGGCCCGCACCACCGACAGAAACAGCAACAACAACAACTGCAACGACCGGGACGACATGATCGCGCCGTCCAAGGCCGCCGTTCTGAACAAGATTCGGTGGGCGCTGTTCGAGCGAAAGATACAAAAACGAGAATCCTTGTCGCAAAGGCGAAGGGAGGCCAACGCCGCAAACGGGGACGACGACCGCCACCACGGAAACGAAAACGAAAAGGGTACGCCGCAACGAAACGATGACAAGCGCAGCGCTGGCTTTGACGATCCTTCCGCGAACCGCACGATCGCGATCGAATTCTCAAAATTTGCACGTTCTCAATTTCCTTTCTTTCGATACGGAATGTCCTGCCACCGCACCCAACCACCACAACTACAACCACAACACCACGCGCCAACGCAATCGCAGCAGCAGCAACAGCAACAGCAACAGCAGGTTTTCTTTGAGAACGCCGGTGGGGCCCAGGTCCCGGGGGCCGTCATCGATCGCGTAAGCGCGTCGCTGATGCGGCGGCACCGGGAGACAATCGGATCCGAAACCAAGACCGCCGCCCGCGAAACGCTCCGGAGGCTCCTGGTCGGCGGGGAAGAACGAACCAAGGAATCCTCGTCGTCCTCCTCCTCCTCGGCCGTCGTCCTCGGGCTGAACGCCACCAGCCTCCTGCGATCGCTCGCCGGCCGCTACGCCTCGTCCGTCCTGGAGCCCACCGACGAGGTCCTGGTCAGCACGGAAAACCACCTGGCGAACTTCGACCCGTGGATCGCGGCCGCGGAGGCCGCCGGTGCCACCGTCCGGCTCTGGGCGCCCCTCCAAAGGCCGGAGGGCGATCCCCCCCACGGGCACGGGCACGGGCACGCGGTGTCCTCGAACAACCTGGAGGACCTCGTCGGCCCGCGGACGCGGATCGTGGCGCTTCCGCACGCGTCCAACGTCCTGGGCGCGGTCCGGCCGATCGAAGCCATCTGCGCAATGGTCAAGAAGCGCAGCGGGGGACGCGCCCACGTCGTGGTGGACGGCGTGGCGGTAGCTCCCCACGAATACGTCGGCTTCGACGAGGCCCCCATGGGAAACGTCGACTGGTACGTGGTGTCGATGCACAAGCTCTTTGGTCCGCACGTCGGCGTGCTCCTGGGGCGAAAGAGCCAGTCGGTGCGGGAATTCCTCGAGGCGGTCGACGGCTGCTCTCCCGGCAGCTCTCTGAGGGAGGAAAGGATACAGGCCGCCATCGAATCGGGCACCTCGAACATCGAGGGCTGCGCGGGAGTGGTCGGGCTGGGCACGTATTTCAAAGCCCTGTCGAAGTGGTGCCGGGGGCACTCCCCGGGTCCTTCGGATTCGGCGTGCTGCGACGCCGACGAAACCGATGGCCTGGTCTCGGTACGGGAAGCCAAACTGGCCTACGCCTTTATTCGAAGAGCAGAGGCCTCCCTACTCGACCTGTTGTTGCGGCGGCTCTCTCGCTGTCCCCTGCTGAGAATCATCGACGGGTCGTCCACTGTTAGTGGCGTCGCGACCGGGGGCTACGGCGAGAGCGTGCGCCGTCTCCCGACGGTGTCCTTTGTCCACGCCGCCGTCCCGTCGCGGGACATCTACGCGTTCTGCTACCAGAGGGGGATCGTCTGCCGCCACGGCTTTTTCCTCTGCACGAAGCACCTGGCCGGCGACCTGGGATTCGGAAACCGAGAGGACGGCGTTCTGCGTGTGTCGCTGGCGCACTACAACACCCCCGGCGAGGTCGATGCGCTCTGCGACGCGCTGGAGGGCATGCCCCGCTGGTTCGGAGCGCCGCCATCGACGCCCTGATGCCCGGGCGGTCGGACCAAAGCAATGGTTGTTAGAGAGACCAAACCACTGGGCAGAATCGTGTGAACGAAACTAGACTATCGTACAACTCCGCTACGGTGTTTGACTAAAGAAAACTAGCAGCTTGCCAACCGATTCCCGAATGGAAAGATTATTATTTCGCCACTACCTCTAGAATGACGTAATGGTTTCCGCTTTCGTATCCGCTTTCGACGAGCCGCAGACCGGGAACCCGGCGGACGAGGTCCTCCAGTTCTCCCTCGCGATACATGTGGCAGTACCGCTGAAAGACCACGAGCCCCTTGCGCTCGTCGAAGTCCGCCTTCTCGTAGGCTTCCGAGTACAGCTCGGCGACGCTCTTGGAAGGACCGTGTGGGGCCACCGAATCGTTGCCACCGGACCCGTGCGACTCGGGTTCGGGACCCCCCGCCCCGCCGGACACCCGGTCCAGGTATTTCGGCTGCGCGTTGAACGGGACAAAGACGTCGGGTGCCGCAAACCGCCGCTTGCTGTTGGAGGCCTGTTCCATGGCCCACGCCTGGACGTGGATTCTCCCGCCCTTCCCGACGATCCGTTCCAGTTCCTCTAGGCACCGCAGTCGGCGATCGGTCGTGCTAAGGTGGTGCATCACCGCTATGCAAATGGCGGCGTCGCAGCTGTCGCTTCGCAGCGGCACCGTCATGGCGTCCGCGACCGCCACGGCGGGTCGCTTCTGCAGGGATTGTCGGTAGCCGCTAACGGTTCGGGTGCCTGGCACCGTGCTGCCGCTCGATTCGTCGAACGAGCTCTCCAGGAGCGGAAGGCTGATGTCGGTCCCGATGACGTAGGAACCGGCCTCCCAGATTGCGGGAAAATACTTGCCGTCTCCACAGCCCACGTCCGCAACGATGGAACCCTCCGGCAGGTTCTGAACAAACTGCGTGGAACACAGAAACAAAAACAAAACCGAAACACGATCATCGCGAAACGCGTGAGAAAAAAGGGCCGGCAAAGGCCCCGGAACCGTTCCGAGACCAACGCGCGTATGGAATCCCCACGGAGCGGGCCAAGGAGACAAACACACAGCATCTTACCTGTGTGGCACTCGGCCAGAGAACTCCTCTCTTTCCCCGTGTGTGGTGCCACTGGGTTGCAATCGCATCGTAGACCGCGTGGACGTGGTTGCGCTCCGTGCTCGGTGTCACCAGTGCATTGCCGTTTGAGCCAGGCGGGCCGCGCTTCCCGTCGTCGCTGCCTCCCCAGACCGGGGGAAAGACGCTCGATTCGAAGAAATCCAGCGGCGAACCATCCAACGACAATGCCGTTCGCAGTGTTAGGCTCACGCGCAGGCCCCGGGGCGAGGTCGTTCCGTCGTGCGTGTCCGTTCGCCGCGTCACGATTTGGTGTTCCCACTCGTAGCGTGCCGGACCGGCCATGAGCACAAGAGACCTGCGGGGGAGGTACACAAGCTTTTTGACGCGAGCCTCGCCTTCGGTTTTGGCTCCGACTTTCGTAAATTCCATGACAATGCCACTGTTCAAGCTTATGCTGATTAATCCATCACCAAATGCGGAGGGTGTATCTATGTGAGAGCCGATGCCTTCTCCTGGCTTGTATTGATTTACTGTCATTTGATTCAAGTGAGGAAAAGTCATCTTCCTGGTCATTGATTCTTGGCTGTTTGGTCCGTCGCTCTTCTCTTCATCGGAGGAGGGAGGCTCTGTTTCAAATTCGTGTCGCCTTGTCTTCTCGACAATCTGTGCCAAAACTTCCCACCCCCTTCCTTGTCGAATCAAATCGTCCATACTTATCGGATCGTTGTTCTCAGCTGTCGTCTCGATGGCTGGCATGGGGGGACAGTTGGCAGAAAAGGGAGTGTTTTCATCTCTCCGCAAGACATCAGCGGTTTGATAATCAAAAACATACCCGTAGTGCTGGACCAGTCTTTTGACAGCGCCTGTCTGACTTTTGTTGGTTTGCTGCGGAGCCCACGGTGCCTGTGGACCCGTTAATATTGCCAACAAAATCTTTTCTTCTGGTTCGGTAAGAAAGTTTTCGACGACAACCAATCCGGGCACGTGAACATGAGAGGTAGTGGACGTGCACTCAGGGCGGGAAGCGTCTCCCTTGCCTTTTTCGTACTCTCCTTTTTCTTTCGCCTTTGATTTCTGCGTGATTGTCGCGTAATCCAGAAAGAGTTGCCCACTGTGTATTTCCCCTTCGTTCGACTGCTGCTGATCACTGGTTTTCTTGGTGCCGTCATTCCATGCGACAACCCGCCCCTGGTACTCTCGAACTATGCGCTGGGCGTCGCTTGCCGATCTCAATCCGAGGTGACACGATTGAATCAGTTGCTGCTTACGGTTTTGTTTTTTGGGAAGGAAAATTTCGATATCGGTGCCAAAGACCTGTCGCAAGGCGCGATACACAGCATATGGTTTTCCCCACCAGTCCGATAGTGTTCTTCCTGTGGTTACCTCGCTGTCGTTGTTGTTGTCGATCAATCCAGTCACGTAGACAAACCGAGTTTGGCTTCGTTCCTGTTCGTCGTCTCCTCGGTTGTGTAAGAGTCTTCGGAACTGAGGTGGATTCGACCTTGGCCAGAACGACGACGTATCTTTGGGCAGAGGCGTAGTCGTGATCATGGTAGCCTGGCACGGTCGAGATCCAAACAATGCGCAACCATCGGATTTCGATGTTACACAATCACCGCGAGAGTTTACAATTGGTGCCAGTATTGTTTGGGGCGATATTCGCTGGTCTCGGAATGCATACTGAATTTGAAGCGCTTCATACGGACAATTATATTCCAGCCGCAACCTCGAAAGGTTCTTGCCATCCGAAACACGAACCGACAACACGGGAAAGGGCAATTGAAGCCGCTTGTAATGATCGCGAAGCGCCAATAAAATGGCTTCTTCTAGTGCTTCCGACGACTTCCAGTAGGGGCTTGGTTCGGATTGCTGAGTATTCGGTGAAGCCTTTCGTTTAGGCTCAAATGCTCCCTGCAAATGCACGTATCCTCTTTGGTCATCGCAGCTGCTTCCAGCCGGAAGAGGTTCATGAGGCAAAACGGATCGAAACGCCTTCCCACTGCTGTCACCGCTGTTCCTCTCGCCGTTGGTGGTCGCCGCGATGCTCTCCGATGAGCCACTTCCATCGTTCTGCTGACCCTGCATTTTCTACGGCGTTCGGCAATGAATAGAATTTCCAGGAATGAGCCAAGGCTGCTGCTGATCACTCTCGATGGGTTTGTCGACTTTTGTCGTACTGAATTGCACGGTAGCGCTCCTTGTCAAGGTGTCGTCTGTTTCCTGATCGAAACGCGAGATTTGAAGAACGAACTCACTCTCGTACCGTACAGAGAACGTACCGTATGTACGGCTTGCTTAGGAAAACTGGTTGAATTCGTGGTCGACAGAAAAGGGGACAAAAAGAAAACTTGATCATATTTTTCTTCATTTTAGGTTTTTACCAGGTTTTTATCACACTCATTATTTTGGAGCAGCAGGCAGGGGGAAAGTACGTACGTACCATCAACTTTACTTTTTGGGTACGAAAAGTACGAGTACGTATCCTAGACTATTAGATACGTGGTAGGTGGTAGTACCTACTCATAATTAGTCGTTGATACTTCTGCTGAGTACGATCTACTAGGAGTAGTACTACCTGGTACCTACAGTAGTTGCCTCCCTTGCCTTTCTCTAGTACTGTACAGTACTACGGTAGTGATCGTAATTACAGTCAAGTACAGTAGTCATTCATACAGGCCGGTACGTACTTACAATACGTAGGGTACTCGTACGATACCCGACCCATTACGATTCGAATTAGTGGTCACATCGTTTTTAAGCCCAAATTCTATCGACGACCCCAATAGACGACCTATCGAGATTAGTCATTTCTCATCTCTACACTCTAGAAGTCGTCGGGAAGAACCAAAACGCCTATTCTACACAACTTCCAGAGTGTAGAAGAATCTGTGAGGTACTGAAGGAAGCAGAAACAGAACCCGGCCTTGAGAGTACGAAAAATCCAAAATCCCGCAGAACCCACGCTACAGACGATAATTTCGGAGGGGAAAGACCGCCTCCGCAGCCATCGTCAAAGGTATCATGGGTCTTCAGAAAAGACCTTTAGTCAAAGAAGGTGGACCCCGTAGGCAGCTGCAAACAATTATATTTTCGACAATTGGAATTGTTGCCCTTTTCGTTTTCTTGTCGGTTGTATCGGAATCGGAAACTTTTTCTGCGAAGTCGGATCATGCCCAAGTTCGAACACAAACACCAGCATCGGTGGACAGTGCTCAAATTCAAACACCACAGCCAAAGAAACCGGCTGTAACGGAATCGGAAACTCTTTCTACGAAGTCGGATCATGCCCAAGATCGAACACAAACACCAACATCGAAGGATAGCGCTCAAGTTCAAACACCGCAGCCCATTAAGCGAGATTCAAACGAGATTTGCCTGTCGATTTGTGGCAAACGGCGCCAGAAGCGCGCGGAGGTCTTTCGGGGTGACCTAACGGACTCTAAGGCTCTACTAAAACTAGCTTCGGCAGAAAAAGAGCGACTGTTGCAAAAGCTTCGCAAGGATTATGGAGAATATTTTGAGTCAATCTTTGTGAATAGCGAGAACGGAAAATATCGCCCCTGCATCGGTGCTACAGACGAAGGACCATCCCTTCAACGACTGAAACGAAAGTTAATGATAAAGATCCTGTCGATGCAATCAAAAATCAAGAAACAGGATTCGTATTCTACTGGGTGCGACTGTACAAGTGAGACGGGTAAGGCGTTACGGAATAATGTGGAAGAAAAAGACGATCCCTCTTTGTTGTACGAGGACATCGATTCAACAGCTTTCTTTGAAAAATATGTCTGGGCAACTGGAGGGCATTCGGCCGCTGCGGGCCATGGAAACTTATTCAATGAATCGTACACTGCTTATATGGAAAGGGATGTAAAGGATATTTTCGGATCAATTGGTATTGAGTTCGAAGGACGAAACTATGCCATGGGAGGAACGCATTCGGCGACAGATGTTTCCATGTGCTGGAAAGAAATATTTGGACAGGATGTTGATTTCTTCTCTTGGGATTATGGAATGACAGATGGCAACGACGTTTCGAAATTGTTTCATTTTTCCTACCGGGGTGGTATTTCGGAAAGTAGACCCGCTGCAATGCTTATACATTACGGGGGAAGAGCTGGCAAAAATCGATTAGGAGCATACGCCGCACTGGAAGAAATGGGAATGGCTGCATTTCACTCAAATGAAGGTCTAATGGCAAGTATGAGGGATGAAATACCTGATTCCTCGGGACTATCTACGAATGAGGCGATTAATGCATTGCCTGAATACGTTCGAAATTTCAAATGCGGAACTTCTCTCGAAAAAGGAGATCCTTATTGTGGATCAGAAAAATTCACGAAGTGGGGCTGCGAAAATCGAATGAAACAAACAAGTTGGCACCCTGGATTGTAAGTGCAGTACGGTACCTAAATTGCTTCGCTAAGAATGATTTCAGTTCATACCCCCTTCGTTTTCAGAATACAATCAATATTGTACCATTAACTTATTTCATCATTTATCGCTTCAACCTTCGAAGTAAGGACCAGGCATTGGTTGGGCATGGGCTTGGTCTCTTTTTGATGGATGCGTTGCTCAGTACTCTTCAGGATCTCACTAAATACGATGATGCAGCCACAGAGGAACTGTTATCGCAATTAGAAAAGGAAGACAAAGATTTACATGCCAGCTTCATCCGTGCTGAGATACCAAAGCCATACCGCAACTTACTTAAAGCTCTCAACGAGCTAACTTTCACCGAGGGTGAGTCCAAAATCGATTTTTCTTTATTTTTTAAGGGGAAAAGCATTTGCCATACAGCAAGACTGCCCTCCCAAACTAGATACCGCGGTATTCTTACCGATACTGACATGGTAGGTGAGGCAGCGCCAGTCGGGGAAGAGACTTATTACCTAGGCTTCGATAAGGCTCGAGAATCGAAGAAAGCCACGGAAAACAATGAATTGCGACTGGTCTATGACATGTACAGGGAGAGGGAGGATAAATGCCGTGGCATTATCGTGAAACCAGACTACCCAGATTCGTTCTATACGAATTCTCTGGATGGATGGACAAAATTAACGTTTCCCAACGAAGCCGAAAAAAAAGCGTATGGATACGATCCAGCTCATTATGAAGGCATCTTCATTGTCCATGGGAAAGTTTGTGATTGGGGCAAGTGCCCGAAAGGGTTTTTGTTACCAGAAGAAGACCACGCAGAAAAAAATTGGGAGATGAAAATAAACAATCAGTACGTCACAACGGTGAAAAACATTGGCAACGGTTCTGTGATTCTTGGTGGTGAGAATGGATTTCGCTTTACAGCTAATTCAAACGCACAGTACGAAATCGAAATAAAGGTGAACAAGGAAAATCATTACTTCCAACTCTTCGATTTTGTTTTGTATTGATTTCCAATACATTCACCTATAGCTCAAGGTAACAAACAGGTCACAAACGTCATAATTTTTCAATTCTAGAAGATATCCTTTGGTGAATCGCTAACATGTGCAACTTGATATGGTCTGTACAGGCTACAACTAGGTTCCACAAGATCAGGAGCACGCACGCATGCTCAATTTGCTGTGACAAAAGCATATCCGTCTCCTTGTTGTCGTTATTAGTTTGATGAAGTTGGCTGATGAGAGATACGGTGTATGTCCTTTGTTGCTCGTAACCAGTGAAATGATAAAGGATACTACGGTATGCTCTATCGCGTGGTACGAGTGATGGTACGTACGGTACGTACCGCATCGAACGTACAAAAACAACAATGTTCACAATGAAGAGTGGTTATTCACGAGCGATTCGGGAATTACTTTCCTCGTATTCCCAAGTATAAGCCTCCACGTGGCATCAAAGATTAGTGAATTGTTGTTCGGATGACGAAAAAATCTTCAAATGCTGAAGAGATCAACAAGTATGTACAATACCTAATCGTCCCGTTACGTACTACAGTAGAATGATGTACTCGAACTCTTCGGTTTCACGAGTTGGTCGCAAACTACATCTACGACTCCGTTCACTACTTCATTATTCCGAGCATCATGTTTTTCGGTGCAGCGAACTCGCTTTTGTCGACTCTGGCCTTCTTCGTGGCGAGTAGACGAGGCAACAATATCAGTCCCAAAAATGGTCATGGTTTACATGGACTGTCGATCCAGTCATCGTCGTGTTTGAATCGAAATTCGGGACTTCCGCAACGGACTCTACCTGTCTTGAAAAACGATGGGACTTCTACCATGAGCGATGTCCAAGATTCAAGCGCAGGATATAATCTTCTTGTCGGTCGACCAGTGGAACAAGAGAAATACACAGCCCTATTGTCCTGGCTGAAGTCCAATGGGGCAACTGTCAATGAATCTTTGGAAATTCGGCAATCCTCTCAAGGAGAGCAAGCAGGATATGGACTGTTTGTCAATCGTCCAACTGAACAAGACGAACTGTTGTTTTCTATACCTCGCAGCCTATGTGTGACGATAGAAAAGGCCACATCATCGGATGATGACGAGGGTGTTTTGGGAGAAGCCCTTGAAGCCCTTATCGAAAAAGCCGGACCAGGTGGCATAACTGTCGCTATGGCGGGCTATTTAGCAAAAGATTATATTTTGACTTGTTTGGAAGAAGATGACAGAAAGAAAGGCGAGACCAAAAAAAATAGCAGTCGCTGGGGACCATATTTGGCCCTGTTGCCATGGGAACGTGGTATCAACAACCAAGAGCATATCCTATTTTGGAATAACAAAAAGATAGAAGATTTGCTACAGGGATCTCTTTGTTACCAAGAGGCCAGAAGTTTGAGAGAGGAAGTGGCCCTTTCTATTAGGGTTTTGGGGCCGATCTTAAAGAAATCTGTTCGTGTAGCTCGAGGAGAGGAATCTGCAACAACAAATGCCCTTGAACGGCTATCAAGTTTGCTTCCGTGGCAACAAAGTAAACAGGGCGAAGATGCACCGGATTCTATTGACGATAAGCTTGTAGCGGATGCTATTAAAGGGGCTTTTGTCACGCTTCTGACCCGTAGTTTCCAAGATGACGATAGCACGGAAGAAGAGGGATGTGAAAAGTTGGTGCCACTTTTAGATCTGTTGCAACACTCAGACACACCGAATGTGAGGCACAGAGTTGTTTTAAATGACAGTGATGGAGATTCTGTTGTTGAAGTACGAGCACGACTCGATATTGCCGCTGGGTCTGAACTATGGAACCAATACCGATCAGAAGAAGACGAGGCCATGCCATATTCTCGATTCTTTACTAGGTACGACAATGTTTGAGAACGATTTTAACGCTCACAAGAAGCTTCTGGTTTGGGTATACACTCACCTCTGACATACTTATTTCGTATTCATCTCTATTCAGATTTGGTTTCGTTCCAGGCATTAACGAACCGATTGAGAATTTGCTTCTGGACAAGAGTACGATATTCTATCCTCAGCAAGCTGAAGTGTAAACCGTTACATTTAGTTTAACCCAAAACAACTTAAAGGTAATGAAGCTGAGTGAAAAGGCAATTAGATTGGAATTTAAAATACTTGGACCCAAGTAAAAAATCCCTCGTCTCTCGTATCGAAAATTCTGAGATGTATCTTGACTCCGAAGCGGGGAAATAGGTCTCTTGCAACAGAATCGTACACCATATGTAGACAAAAGGACACATTGTCGATTCTTGTGGTAGAATTCCCGTTTCTGTGACTCCATACACCGCTAGCTTTTCTTCTTCTGATTCATTGTTGCGACAAGGATCCAAATCTCTTTCCTTTTAGGTCCTTTTCCTTTAATCTAAAATCAAGTTATAAAAAAAAACTTTTGGCTCGCCCCACGATCATTCATCACTATGCTATGATTTTATGGAGCCTCGCTAATGATGGAACAGCATATAAAGTCTGTCCCCTCTTTGGGTGAAATAGGCATGACCATCCAATTTAATCATATATTTGTTGAGGTAACAAAACACATGCGTGTTTTTCCGTTGGCGACGCATCTAAAACGAGAATATGTAGTCTCCATGAATACGCACCCGGCTGGATATTTGACACAATGACTGAGTCAGGAATTGAAGTTATACAAGGATCCTCGAAGACTCCGTCTCCGAAAGAGCCCTTGCATACGATGGGGAAAAATACCTCCGATGATGTATCGTCCCCCATTGACTCTTGTTGATTAAGGTAGTCCTGGTCAACCTCGTATGTACTTATTGGCCGTCTCAATATGTTTGATAACGCAACAAGCTCGGGCCCTCCTCCGTATAAACCACCAGATCGGCCTTCTTTCCTAAGAGCTGCAAGATAGTCTTCGGTCGTGTTTGTTGACGGCTCTTGCATCGTAGCCGATTCCAGTAATCTGGAAGCATCGACGATGTTGTCTTTCCCGATATAAAGCTTCCCTGTTGATGATAACACTTGTGCCACAATGTCTCTTGTCTCTATCGAAATTGCTCTCAACAACTTATCGCTTCCACCAAGTCCCATTGACGTGGCGGAAGCTAGAGCAACAGCTAGGAACATACAATCGCCGTCGCCTGCTACGTTTCTCATCGTAAAGTACTTAAAGATTTCCCTGCCATCTTTTTCCCCTGGTGTCACAAAATATTGAGGATACGTACAGACATGGTTCGGCGCAAATTGAAAGTCTCGAAATGGAATTGCCCGTATTTTTGTGGATGTGGATGGTGTAGTCGATAGAGCGGCCGTCGATCTAAAGCATTTCGGTGCTAAAATTATCGTGACACTCGCCAACCAAACAAAGGTCCTCATATAATGTACTCTAAGCATTTTCCCCTGCGATCACCCCATTCACAAAGATACAGCATTTGCCTCTTGTGGCATCAGCAATGCCTTCCTCAAAATGGTCGAATTCTCTCTGTCGAACTCTCAGTTTCGGATTCTCGTTGTCTAATTGGAAAATCCAGCGCTTGAATTTACCGCACCCTCTTTGCGTACGTACGTATTCCCCCCCCTTCCCCACTATGAGCCGAGCGCAACGTCCCCCAAATGTTATTTTTCAAGTACAGTAACAAAAATCATTTTTTAAACTCATCAGACTAACTTGGTGTCTTTCGCGCCTTGGCCTCTCTCAAAAGCTATGCACTCGAAGAAGATGAATGGACCTGAATTCGATCAAGATCGCAGTACCAGTACTTGTACCGTACCATAAGGTACTATGTACCAGGTCGTACTGTACCAGAACACATTACGTACGGGTAACGGGTACCGTACTACCGTTACTTGTATCGTACCCGTAGAGTCCTGTGCATAGTGTCACGGGAGCGAAGGGAAGAAAATGAAATCAAATACAAATATTGAAATCTCACATTTTTTTCAGGTGATAACAACACAGCAATACATGCAACGCCAAGGCTCGACATCTCCTTATATTCGATCCTTTTATTCGACTTTTTGAATGGCAGCTTTAACTTTCTTTTCCGGCTGTCAGATTATACCGTGGCAACTACTGATAGGAACACTTCTGCTCTACTGCGCCATCTCACGAGAACAAAGCGCAGGAGGACGGAGTACTGTGGTTGATGCATTCGTAGGTCCCGGGGATACAACGAGCCTAAGGAGAGTTGGAGTTTTGGAAAGCGAATGTGTTCATCGCTGCAGAGATAACACTGAGATGCGCTCCTTCATTTTATCGAAAAAGTATGAGGCGTTTTCGGCTTCCCGTCGTTGCTTTCAATTGTCTCCTTTTGCTTCTTCGTCGTGTCTTCGATTCAGCCAAAATGCCAAATCGACGCAGATAGGAGCTGTTTCAAGCGCGTATCGATCGGATCTGAGAAGCACTCGTGGTAACAAATCGAGAGCACAGTTCGCTTCGTCCACCATGGGTAGACTGCCTTTTACTTCAAGCGCATCACGTTTACATGCAACCGCTTCATCAACTGTGAGGGATGTAGCTGCCGTATCGGACGATTCTGGTACAAAGAGGGAATTGTTCTTTGCAGAGGAACCATCCCCATCATCGAAATCGTGTGAAGACGACAAAACCAATGCGGCTCTATTTCATGGCTTAAAATCGAGGCCAGTCGAAGGAGGAAACTGGGACCCTAATGCGAGCCTCGCCTGGGCCAAAGATTTCGGACGACGATGTCCAGAATACGACAAGCGATGCAAAGAGGGAGAATTGTTTACGAAACTGAAACCAGGCGACGACGGCTACTTTGATGTCTCGGATATTGATGCTGGAATATCGAATGCTACAATCGTTCGCACCAAAGAACAAGCGCGGATAGTAATGGAAAAGTTGATGAATTCCGATCCCGGTATCTTTCACGCATGTGATACTGAAGTCATGGATATCAACCTGAAAGAAGTGGGACCAATCGGAAATGGATATGTTACGTGTTTGAGTATATATTCTGGGCCTGACTTCGACTATGGCCTCGGCGCCCCAATCGGTTCTACTTTATGGATCGACAATATCGACGATGCCCATGGAATTCTGCAAGAATTTAAACCATGGATGGAAGATGAAAGGTTCAAAAAGATTTGGCACAACTACGGCTTTGATCGACACGTGATGTGGAACGAAGGGATCGATTGCAAAGGGTTTGCAGGTACGTTAGTAGAAATAATTATCGTTCAATGCCAAAAACAAATCAGTGAGTCAGTTATTGATTTGCTTACTCTCTATGTGTTTCTGCCTGGGCCACATCTAACTTGAAATCTTCTAGGGGACACCATGCACATGGCGCGTTTACAAGACACGAGTCGCATGAAAAACGGTGGCGGCGGCTACAGTCTAGAGGCATTGACATCAGAGTTGTTGGGTCTGAGAAAGAGACCAATGAAGGAAATATTTGGTGTTCCACGTATCAGAAAAGATGGAACACCGGGGAGCATAGTGGATGTCCCTCCGATTGAAGTTTTGCAGCGTGATCCTAGATTTCGTGAAAACTTTATCGCATACTCGTGTTACGATGCCGTTGGAACATGGAGGTTGCACCAAAGACTAGTGGAGTTATTGAAGAAGATGGACTGGATTTCGACGGACACAAATTTGTACGACTACTACTGGGCAAATATGAGGGCTTTCGGCGAAGTTTTGACGGACATGGAAAGGCGTGGTGTTTATGTGGACGCGAAAAAATATTTAGCATCAGTAGAAACACAAGCACGTCAAGATCGAGCAGATCACCTAAGAAAATTTCGACAATGGGTGGCAAAGGAAATCGGTCCAGATGGGTTAGCTATCAATCCCGCAAGCTCGGTTCAATTATGTACTTTACTTTTTGGTGGATCTCAAAATATTAAGACTAAGGAACCAACTGAACATATCCGAGTATTCAAAGTTCCTGTTGAAGAGATTCCCGAGGATGCTTTGGAGGAGTACCAGAAGATTGAGGAGAAGAAACAGAAACAAAACGGAGACAAAAGTAAGTCCATCGTTCAGAATATATGATTTGCGCAGAGATTCGCATTCTCAAAAATACTACTTTTGGTTAATTTGTCATGCAAGAAAATGGAATAGAAACTGATCAATTAGATCAACTCAAGGCAGTTCAATTGAAGGCACTATGTAAAGAATGTGGCCTGAAAGTGTCGGGGAAGAAAGCCGATTTGCAACAACGTCTTCGTGACCATCTTCTATCGACTCCAGTGAAAGAAGTCGAAGATGACGAGTTTGATCAAATGTCTGATGATGAAATACGCCAGTCACTTATTGCTAGAAGTCTAGATGATAGTGGTGACAGAATGGAGCTTTTGAAGAGACTCAGAGATGACATCCAATACATGCATGACTTAGAGACAGCTGTCCCGCCAGATGCGTCAGGACACGTGACAATTATTGAGGCTCTTGAGGCAGCTGCTCGTGAAGGTGGCGTCGCCGAAGAAATTCTGCAGAGTATTAAGGACAAATCCAACGCGAAACCGAAATTTATAGATGTAACAGTTCGGAGTCTTGGTATGGAAGCCATCAAGCATACAGCAGGCGGGGCTCCTAGTGTGACAGCTGATGTTCTACGTAAACTTGCTGGTGATCCATTTGAAGACCCTCCCAGATATGGAACGGTAAGAAAAAGTCACTCGAGGAGGACCTACATCCCTCATGAACATAACAAAATTCTCATTTCGTATACGAATTTTTATAATTGCTCTCCCTTAAGGCATTCGAGTTTTTTGGCGGCGGTGAAAATGGACATGAAGCATGTGTAGGCTTATATAGCCTTTGTGCGATAGGTTCAATTGATACCATGATTGCAAATTTTCTCACAAGTTTGCAATCTTTGGCGGATCACCAGAGTCGAGTACATTGCTCTCTGAATCTCAATACAGAAACAGGCCGACTCTCCTCTCGTCGCCCTAACCTTCAAAACCAGCCAGCACTTGAAAAAGACAAATACAAAATTCGACAAGCTTTCCAGGCATCACAAGGAAACTCGTTGATTGTGGCAGATTACGGGCAACTTGAGCTTCGTTTGTTAGCGTCGATGACAGATTGTAAATCGATGATTGACGCCTTCGAATCTGGGGGTGATTTTCACTCGAGGACGGCGATGGATATGTTCGATAATGTGAAGCAGAAGGTTGACGATGGTGAAGTGCTTTTGGAATGGGATTACGCCAAAGGGGAACCTCCGAAGCCACTCCTGAAAGATGAATATGCTTCCGAAAGAAGAAAAGCCAAAACCTTGAATTTTTCTATTGCCTATGGAAAGACAGCGCATGGCTTAAGCCAAGATTGGGGGGTTTCGCAGCAAGAGGCTCAAGAAATGCTGGATAAATGGTACGACGCACGTCCTGAAGTACGCGATTGGCAAGCAAATACAAAAGCCTACGCTAGAAGATTTGGGTTGACCCGTACGTTGATGGGGCGATATCGGCAACTTCCAGAGGCGACTGGTCGGAATAAACGGCTCCTTGGTCATGCAGAACGTGCAAGTATTAATACGCCAATTCAAGGTGGCGCTGCGGACGTTGCAATGATGGCAATGATCAAAATCAATGAGAGTGAAAAACTTAAACGACTTGGCTGGATTCTTTTGCTCCAAGTCCACGATGAAGTTATGTTGGAAGGGCCAGAGGAGACTGCTGAGGAGGCTTTCGATGAAGTAATCCACTGCATGGAATCGCCATGGGTCTTGGGGCTTTCGAAGACTTCCGTGCCGCTCCTTGTTGATGGAAGCTGGAAACACAAAAATTGGTACGATGCGAAGTAGATTACTCTGCTACAATAATGTGAGAAGCGTATAAGACTTTTTAAATATTTTGTTAGTAGCATTGAAATCATATCATAGAGTTTTTAATCTGCGCATCGTTGAGTTTGCTCTGCTGACATTTCAGCGCCAACAGGCAAAAAGCACATATCTCCATCTGGGGCAGATGCAGACACCCTAAGAACAGATGTAGCATCTTCGGCGGATGAGACAACAGCAGTTTTGCTTTCCGATGGAGGATAAATTTGCCAGAATTTACCCTTCTCTTCCTCCCAGTTACCGAGAATTTCGTCAGCTCTTTCGCTGCCTGTCAATTCGAAGTGACGCTCAATCATGTGCTTAAGTTGCGCTTCGCCTTCAGGGGTGGCAAGTCTTTGAACTTTCACAATCTCGTGGTTCACCTTGTCGTTGAACGAACCGTCAGTGTCATAAAAGTAACCAATACCTCCAGTCATGCCGGCTCCGACGTTTCTGCCAACACTTCCAAGCATGACTACAACACCTCCTGTCATGTATTCACAGCAGTGATCACCAGCTCCTTCCGCTACTGCGAAAGCTCCACTGTTTCGCACACAAAATCTCTCTCCAGTTCTACCATTAGCGTGGAAGTCGCCTCCAGTTGCACCATACAAGCAAGCATTTCCGATGATACTCGAGTCGGCAGAAACGAAGCTAGCTTCGGGACTAGGGACAATGACAATTTCTCCACCGTGCATACCCTTTCCGACATAATCATTTCCCTCACCAACAAGACGGAGACTCAAACCGGGCAAGGTGAAGGCTCCAAACGACTGTCCAGCACTACCTTCGAACTGAACGTTGATTTGTCCCTTGAAGCCACGGTTACCGTGGGCACGCGCGATGTTACCAGCGAGCATTGCACCCGAACTTCTATCTGTGTTGATGATCGGAACAGTAACAGCGACTTCGCCAGAGTTGTCCTTGATGACCTTCTCGATCTCAGGCTTCTTGACAAGTTCACGATCAAGTTCGGAGCTGAATCCATTGACGTGGACGATTTCTTCCTTAGGCACCTGGGCTCCACCTTCGATGGTAGCTTTGAGGAAGGAGCGATCATCCTTAGTACTAGGAATACCAGAAAAGAATTTGTCAACATTGATCGATTTGGTCTTTGCAACTCGGCCATTTTGCTCTTCGCTTGATTTAAGTAGATCGGCACGGCCAATGATATCATCCAACTTTTTGTATCCGAGATGGGCCATGAGCTCACGGACTTCTTCTGCAACAAATTCGAAAAAGTTCACAACATGCTCAGGGGTTCCAGGGAATTTCTTCCTGAGTTGTTCTTTCTGGCTTGTCACTCCAACTGGGCAGGTGTTGAGATGGCACACTCGGGCCATAACACATCCTTCGGCGATCATCGCGATTGTTCCGAAACCATATTGTTCAGCTCCGAGCAAAGATGCAACTAGGATATCTCGTCCAGTTCGGATACCACCATCAACGCGCAATACAACACGGTCACGAAGATTGTTTTCGTACAATGCAGAATGGGCTTCAGCGAGACCCAGTTCCCAAGGACCTCCAGCATGCTTGATGGAAGAGAGAGGCGACGCTCCTGTACCGCCGTCTCCACTAGAAATTTGGATGACGTCAGCATCGGCCTTTGCTACACCACAGGCGACGGTACCGATTCCAATGGATGACACAAGCTTCACGGAAACTCCGGCGTACTCATTCACAGCATGCAAATCATGAATCAATTGCGCAAGATCCTCAATACTGTAGATGTCGTGATGAGGTGGAGGAGAGATCAATGTAACGCCCTCCTTACTCGCACGCAGTCCGGCGATGTATTCGGATACCTTAGGACCAGGAAGTTGGCCACCTTCACCAGGTTTAGCACCTTGGGCCATCTTGATCTCGAGTTGCTTGGCAGTGACAAGAAATTCGGGTGTGACTCCGAAACGTCCACTAGCAACTTGGTGCACGAATGAGTTAGCAGAATCTCCCTTCTTCAAACCTGCTAAGTGGGGGAAAGTTTCACTTCTACCTCGCTCATCGACATCGGCAATCGGTTTACCACGAATGATATCTTCCCCACCCTCTCCAGAATTGGATTTTCCACCGATGCGGTTCACAGCAATTGCCAAAGTCTCGTGAGCTTCGCGACTGAGCGCTCCTAGGGACATGGCACCAGTACAGAAACGTTGCATAATTTCAGACGCAGGCTCAACCTCGTCGATCGGAATAGACTCTCTATCAGATTCGAAATCAAGAAGATCCCTGATATTGGCAAGAGGTGCTTCTTCGAGGCTCTTCTTGAAAATTTCATAATTGGCAACGTTCGCCGGCTTTACTCCATCGTTGGGAAGTTCATCTCTTCCTTTAGCGGCGCTCACTTTCTTGTCTAGGCCAATTGCATCATGAAGAAGTTTAGCAAGATCGGCAGAGTTGGCATGGTATTCTCCGAGCTTTGGGACAGGCTTGTAGTATCCGTAGTTTACGAGCTTCTTTCCAACGACCTCAGGTCGCATCATGATAGTTTCAGATGCAATATCCTCGAGGTCGAGTCCACCGATACGACTCGTTGTACCCTTGAAACTTCGATCAATGACTTCGTCACCAAGGCCAATAGCTTCAAAAATCTGTGCCCCAGCATAAGAAGTTAGTAATGAGATTCCAATCTTCGACAAGATCTTCAACAAACCATTCTCAACGGCAGTTCTGTAGTTTTCTTGTGCCTCCGCAAGAGTTGTCTTCTTCAATTTTCCACTATCCATCATTTTCTGGGTTCTCGATTGACCGTGCCATTGTTTTACAGTCTCAAGAGCAAGGTATGGGTGAACGGCATTGGCACCATAACCAACAAGACAGGCGAAGTGATGAGTGGACCAGGCCCCACCGGTCTCCACAACGAGACCGGTGTCCATTCGAAGGCCCTCGTCGATAAGTCTGTGATGGACGGCTCCCACAGCCAAGAGTGGCGGAATGTAGGTTGTTTCGTCCAACTCTGTTTGACCATCGGCCTTGTCGCTGAGAATCAAGACTTCAACGCCAGCCTTGACTTGCTCAACGGCAGCATCGCACAGAGCATCAAGTGCAGTCTTGATCCCACTGGGACCGTCGGCAAGGGCGTATCGAGTAGACAAAGACTTTTGCTTGAAGCCGCCTTGATCATCTTGTGCCAAATCGGCAATTTTTTCCATTTCAACACTATTCAATACAGGCGATTCAAGATAAATAAGACGAGCACCTGATTCAGACACCTTGTAKATGCTTTCTTTTTTCCCTAGAGTCATACCAAGTGACATAACAACACCTTCACGAAGAGGATCAATTGGAGGATTGGTCACTTGAGCAAATCGTTGTTTGAAGTAGTTGTACAAGCCGTGAGGACGTTCGGAAAGAGCAGCAATAGGTGCGTCATCTCCCATGGAATATGTGGTTTCCTTCGCAGCTCCTGCCATATCCTGAATTTGCATACCAATATCTTCTAGTCCCCAACCGAAACTTGCTTGCGCGAATGTAGCGGTATCGTCATCGAACATGCGCTCGTCAACAGCTGGCATCTTCGTGACATCTTTTCTTTGCTTCTCGATCCATTCACCATAAGGATGACCTGAAAAACATCAGAGGAAAAAGTGTGAGATTCATTACAATTTCATTTGACGGAAGAAGACTCAAACTCCACACTAGACAATCCCCGTTTTATGATTGACTTACGTTTCGCGATTTCACTTTTGATTGCAATGTTGTCCTTAAATTCACCAGACATCAAATCGACATTGATCATTTGGCCAGGTCCCAAACGTCCCTTCTCGACAATTTCGCCTTCGTCAAGGTCAGGGATGACACCAGTTTCACTCATCATGAAGACGGATCCATCCTTCGTAATAGAGAAGCGGGCGGGTCGCAAACCATTTCTGTCCAATGAAGCTCCGATCGATTTTCCGTCAGAGTATACCAAAAGAGCTGGACCGTCCCAGGCTTCCAAGAGACCTCCATGGAACTTGTAGAAGTCCGTGATTTCAGGATTATTCTTCAAGTCAGGATTCTCCATGTAAGCCGTTGGGACCATTGCCATCAGAGCACATGGTGCAGTGTGACGGGACTTGCACATAAGCTCGAAAACACCATCAAGGTTAGCAGAATCGGAACGATCCAAACTAACAACAGGTTCGAGCACAGAAGGATTATCCTGAGTATTGCACATCGTCACAATATTATCAGAAGAATCGCAGTCGACCATGTCACCGAGTTCAATGGATTTAGATTTTTCTCTGGCCTTGACCCAGTTGACATTTCCCAATAAGGTGTTGATTTCTCCATTGTGTCCAACTGTACGCATCGGTTGAGCGAGAGGCCACTTCGGCGTGGTATTGGTTGAGAACCGACGGTGGTAGATGCAAAATCTAGAGGTGTAGTCAGGATTCTGCAAATCTAAATAGAATTGAGACAAAACCTCCGACTGAACCATGCCCTTGTAAACGATGGTTCGTGAACTGAAGGAGGGAATGTAGACAACACCATCGTCGTCATCCCATTCCAATCCAGCTTTCTTCAACTCGACCGCAATTCGTCGTCTCACCAAATATAGAGTGCGTTCGAAGCCGTCGCGTGCTTCGTCATCACCGTCGCTAAGGCGTTCTGGAGCCTTCACAATGAATTGCCAGACACTTGGCATACTAGCTAGGGCCAAGGGTCCTAGGACGGATGGGTCGGTAGGAACCTCTCTCCATCCTAACCAACCAAGTTCATTGTCTTTGCACACTTTTTCAATAACAGCCTTCACATCATCGCGACGTTTCTCGTCACGTGGTAGGAAAATCTGACCAACACCGGGTCGAGGGCAGCTGTCCGAACGGAACTCATCAAGAAGTTTCCATGGGATTTCGGTCATGATTCCAGCACCATCTCCAGAAATAGAGTCTCCTCCGCATCCACCTCTGTGCTCCATGCAGGTGAGGGCAGAGAGACCTTGTTGGACGACCTTGTGCGTACCAAATTCTGTCCGTGGAATAAAGTTTCAAGATGTGGCGAAGATAAGAAAACATGAACAAACTTCGAAGGGGAAATCGCGCCAAATACGAGGAACATAATTGTACGGTCTCTACAGTTCCCGCTATGGGCACTGACTGATCATTCTCATTTGAACGCTAGAAGCAAGATCTATCGTAATAGTTCAATGCTACATAACTTACCCTCGTTCGTATTAGCGACGAAACCAACACCACAGGCGTCGCGTTCCTTGGTGAGGGCGAGAGGACCATCGTACATGTTGCTACCGTCTTTCGATTCAAAAGCCATGTTCAAACGAGTCCATGTTTCAGATTGATCTGCGAAGGCAGTAGGCGTTTGGACGACCAACTTCTGCGTTGGCAAAAACGCCGTCGTCGGCACTACTGTCGTCGACAACCAGAGGAACAGGACATGTTTTTTGCATGAAAGAAAATGCATAATTCCTGCTGCTAGTCAATGTTATTCAATTATATCACAAGACTCCAGCTACTGTTGTTGATGATGCTATTGTTGTTGCTTGCTCCCCGATACAATACAACACGGGTTTGAGAGAAACTTCTCGAACTTTTTTTGTGAACTCTGATGTTGATTATCGGACAGAAGGAAATCATTGACGTTTGATGAGAACGCAGATTTTTGAGGCCTTGGATGCAATTGCATGAAGGAAAACGCAGGTTTTTTCGTCCTCCGGGAAACAGACAGACAAAGGTAGAATTCTGTGGGGGAAATAACAGTTGAAATAATTGAGTCTAGTGACGCAGATGACGACAGCAAAACTGGTGCGCCCTGCGGAAACGAAGAAAGGGGGAAAAAAGTGCAGTGCACTACGGTGTTAAATACAATAGCGATTACGTGGTTGAAAAGAAGGATATGCAAAATCAGAAAAAAATGATGCCGGTAGTTTCGTCTCAGGTGTGACACGATTACGTACTACAGGATACTAGGAAAGAGCCGGCAGAGCCATTCAATCCATTGGAATGTTTCATCATATGTATTGTATATATTTTACGTATGTATGACAAAGTAAGTACAGTATTTAGGGACTAGGGACCTAGCCGCGTGCAGTGCGATCTCTCCAGTGGGAAATTTAAAGAGTACGACTACCAAGATATTAGGGTAGGTACAGAATGAACCAAGAATAAGAAGAGCCTCGTACTGGGATATGTACCGGTACGTACGAAAACGTAATGTTTGTACCAGTGCTCTCAACGGGACGATCTTCGGTGTTGTACCGGTAACATACTCGTACTTATCGTACAAACTACCGTACTTGCAGGCAAGACTGATGTGAAGACTAACGTAGGGTTCGTACGGACCGGAAAGAGTACGAACTCGCAATAAGTAAACCAGATGTTAATAAAGATTGTGACAAGATCCATTTTTGACGAGCCCTGCCCTCCGTCTATTTCCACCGTACCGGTACTTGGTAGGTTGTAAGATAACTTCAGAAAAAAGTTCATCAGAATGCATGACTATGAGAACCAGTACTACCGTTCGATTGTGAAGTACTCGTACTCGTGGTTCCTGTAATACTAGTAGAACACAGGGAGATTTATTCGTAGTTCTGTACATTGACACTATCTGGCTCTGCACGGTACGTTTTTTATGGATAGTGGACGGATCTCAAGCAAAATCATAAATCATCCAGTAATTTATCAACTGCTGTATTCAATGACGAACACATCGATGCTGAATTGAACACGAATTAATCAAAAAGAAGTCATTATGAGCAGCAACAGTAACAATACGCAAGGCAACATCTTCTTGACCACGGAGAACCTGGTAAGGACTCTTTGCAGTGTAGTACCTTGGAACTTTGCGACCGAGCTTGATGACCATACAAACGGGTTGTTTTGCTTCCGTACTTCTTGACTAACACCCCCCCCCCCTTTTTTTTTCTCGTCGTTCTTGAACAACAGGCCTTTTCAATGCCACTGATATTGGTGTGCTCTACGTATGTGAGTGAAAGCATTTTTCCTTAAGGAAGGTGCTCGAGGTTCTTATCGTTGACATTTGAGTTTTTCAAACCTGGTTGTATGGGTTTATTTTCTTGCCTTCGATAATCGTGAACGTAAGGCAAACACTGACACTCTCCTCCTCTTCAGGCATACTTCAAAATTGTACCGCTGAAGTATGGTGTGCCGATACTAGTGGGCGTTTTCGTGATCCTTCAAATTCGGGGACAAGTCAAAACACGTGAGTCAAAATGAAATGAATTTGACAGCGACGGCAATATAATCAAAAGATAAGGAGAACACTACTTCCTTCTGGCGCAGTACATGTAGAATTGACTGTATCGATCTCATAATGACTGGGAATTGAAAAAGAAAGTTCGACTACCCAAATCAAACATACGAATCAGTTAGGTAGCATTGGACCTCGCGTGGCTTACAAATCAAATTGCATTTTTTCACTTTCTATTCCCGGCATATGCCTGGCAATAATACGTCCGATATGTGACTTCAACGGAAATGAATGAACTATAATCTCGTTGAAAGTTCGTGAAAAGAAAATAGAGAACATGGATGAAAGCGATATGAACGACCTTGCTTTGGAGCTTGAAGACGACGCTGAAGACAAAAAGAAAAAGGAGGAGGAAGCAAGAAAATTGGAAAAGAAGAAGGCGCGATTGGCGGAAAGACTAGCCGCCGAAGAACGGAAGGCGGAAAAAGCTGCAAAGAGAAATCAAGGCAAAAAGAAGAGTGGGGACGATGATGACGAAGGCGATGTGACTGTATTTGCTAAGGGTTCCCGAAATCAGAAAAAGAAGAATTAAGATTGTATTTCGTGAATCGTTCATCAGAACATTATGAATGAGATACAGTACATCGCAACGCCAAAAAAATTGTGACCCTTTTCCGAAGGTGTGAAGGTCGATAGTTCCTGTCTGGGTACATTGCAAAGATGAAATGCGCCTCACAGCATCGCCTACTGACGCACATGAATTGTTGCTGTATATCGGCTAGAACATTCTCGTCGCAATATTTCTCATTTTGAAATCGGGCCAAGATATTCTTCTGTTACAACCTAGTACTGCAGTACAATCGACCTAATGCTCTTTATATCGTGTGTTGATCAGCAGTAATTTAGGCGTTATACTATTTACCGGAACTGCTTCGCACTATCCCAGCGTCAATATACTAGAATCATTCAATAATCGCCCGAACTCTGTTTGCTTCCAACATTGGACTTGACCTTTCTGATTGTTATGTACTCTAGTCGAACTAAAGCTCTCCACATTGTGTAATGATCAGCGGTAACCTAGGTGTTGTCCCATTCACCGGAACTGCTTCACACTTTCTTACTGTCAACATACTAGAATCATCTAATACTCGTCCAAAAACTGTATGCTTCCCATCTGCGAAACAAAAGTCGCCGATAGAAGAGAAGGAAGAAAAATAAGAAACTCTTTAGCGCTCAATATACATGGGGTAAAAAATTGCCTCTCGATTCAGTTTGAATTTATCAATCGAAAATGGGTGCCATGCATGTATTGAATCTTGTTCGCTGAAGGTCGAAACTCGCACGTACCAAGATGCTGAGCGGCAGCACACGTTATAAAGAATTGACATCCGTTTGTATTTGGACCGCTGTTCGCCATTGATAGCAGACCTGCATTGTCGTGTTTGTGTGATGTAAGGTTTTCGTCAGGAAATGATGTCCCGTAGATGCTGAGCTTTCCCGTACCGTCATGATTTATAAAATCACCCCCTTGGAGGACGAATCCTTTAATGACGCGATGGAAAGATGAATTCAAATATCCCGTAGGCTGATCGTTTCGAAGAAATTCACCGGTGCAGAATTGACGAAAATTCTCGCAGGTCTTTGGACAATCTTTCGTGAAAAGTTCCATTCGGATTCGTCCGAGATCTGCAGCTGATTCACCCTCCCCCAAGCTAACATCGAAAAACACTACGCTACTCCCCCTCTCAACCGCTGCGAGTACGTTTGGATCTGGAACAACCATGATTTTCTCGCTTTTGCAGCTACTGAACCTTGTGGGGATTGTGCATGCTTCGGTTTCAAGACAATTACGCTGGAGGCTTAGGACCCTTGTTCTAGATAGGCTCGCTAACGGAAACAGTTTCTACGGTGCAAAAACTAAGTTAGTGCCATTAAGGTGCCAGTAAGGTGCCAGTAAGATGGAGTTATGCTCTGAAAAGAATGTAGGTCACATAGTACTACTACTACTAGAAGGTATTCAACAAAAGCACTGTGGCTACTTGTTAATTCTGAAATTTCTGAAATAGGAATGGAAATCATTGAATTGTTGTGCATCCTGGTTATTGATTTTGTTCGTCACACAAACGGGATCCATGGTGTTGCGCATTTCGCGCGGTCTATACCCTTAAATTTTCTGGTCCTACCGTTAGTTTATGA